TCATTAAGTACTCTTTCTGGAACACGTTTATCTTGTCTTTTCATAGACAGGGTTTCGCCTATAAGTAAGTCTGGTGTAGATTCTTTTGTGGACTCAACAATCCACAACTTGTTTGGCCCATAGTCTCCATCTATTTCTCCCTAAATAACTGCTTCTGATTTTGGTGGAATCTGCTGGCTATCTGCTGTTATCACTCGTCTAATGTTGTACTTATTATCGTAACCGAGCATAAGTGGCACTTCTTTATTTGTATAGGTCATAATCCTGTTCTCTATGTCAATTTTGATTCCTTGATTCGCTAGAAAGTCTACTCCAATTATGACTTCGTCGACGATTTCTGCCACTATAAAATTGTGCAACACTGTTGCCTTTCCAATTGCGATTACTCGTATTTCCGCTTATTTGTGAAATGGAGATTACATGACATTTGCTTGCGGGCTGGCTTGCTTTAGTTTAACGATTTGTTGGATTTGACATTTTCTTGATCTTCCTCAGCTTAGAGTGGTTACGGTTGCCTGCAATATGGCCACTTTTTCCGCAGTTAAAGCATTTAACCGTACCATCATTTTTCTTACGCGCTTCCGTAGATTTTTCTCTCCTCGTTTCTAGAGTCTTTCCCCAGGTAGAGAAACTCATAGACCTGTACAATAGGGGTCGAATTCCAAGGAAGGTGCTGTTATGTGCTCAGCATACCCACAGCATAGGCAGGTTGGTCGACACTGCCTTGCACTCGGTAGTGTCATGGCTAGAAGGAGCCTTAAACTATGCTGTGGGTACCTTCCTTGATATCGAGGGGACCTTCAACAACGTACTGCCGGAGCCGGTTATTGGAGCTTTCAATAAGTTTAAGGTCGAAGCTTATCTCAAGCGTATCGTCAATAGTCTGATATGGGACAGAACGGTTGTGGCGGAGTTGGAAGGCCACTTCGGAAAGTAAATAGAGGCACCCCGTAGGGTCACGTTCTTTCCTCTTTGTTTTGGATCCTGGAACGAGGCTGCCGAGAGGTAGCTCACGCGGACGATGTAGCTCTTTTGGTAAAATGAAAATCTCCGTTTACGATCTCATCCAGAAAGAAATAGATTAGCCGTAAATTAAATTAAATTGAACTAGTTTTATTTACTAGGAGATACACAATCTCTGATGTACCTCTTCCCTCATTGGGAGCCTCTATTCTTTATCCAGTGAACAGGACGAAGTACTTAGGGCTTATCCTGAATGGGAAGTTCTGATGGAAGCCAAAAATCGAGAGGAGGATGAGGAAGGCATCACCTTTTGTTGTTGTAGAAGAGCAATTGGGTAGAGGTGGGGTGTGGCACAAAAATTTTCTGGCTCTATGAAACCGTAGTTAAGCTAATAATGTTTTACGGGGTCGTTGTGTGGTGGAAGGCCGTCGGAAAAACTACAGCTGGATATATGAGAGACCCAGATAAGGGACACTTTGAAATTCTCCACTTCTTCGATTCCATTTCTTAGAATCTAGACCACTGTCGTTTGAAGAGAGTGCAGTGAGCTTTTTTACGGATGGATCAAATTTAGAAGTCAGGGTAAGGAGGTGGAGTCTTCTGTCGGGAGCTCTTCATTAAGTCTAGTTTCAGAATACCAGATCACTATAGCGTCTTTCAAGATAAGGTGGCTGCTATCTAGGTAGAGGTAGATATACTGCTCCTCTTTAGCAACAGTTTCAAGTTCTATGATCCCTCTAACGACATGGTGTGTTTTGGCACCATTCAATAACCATTCATGCAAACAATCTATGTTTTAATGCATATCCAATCCCCACATGAGTCGCTAGGCTCATGTCGTAAACACGGCAACAGAAGAGTTCCAGGTGAGGCAACGAGGCTTCGAGGAAGTCTACCACTACGATGTGTTTAATCATTAAAGGTGGGTAGTTGCTACTTAGGTCCCGCTTTGTGTTTATAACCATCGCGGAAGCTACCACCTCGAATAAGGGTTAATTTCGACATGGGTCTAAACGTCAAGATTGGAAAGTCTACAATGGGTAACCGTGTATCAACATATCTCTCTGCTCCGGCAACCTACACAACAGATTTGGAGGTACAAAAGTCAACAACATTAACACGAATTCTATACCGGAAATCACAATTGAGGCCCTATGCTCCAGTGGGAAATACAGATATAACCTGATACGGCCTATCTTATCTTATAAGAGCGCAACGTAAATGAACACTCACCACCGCTTCTATCGTCTGTAACGTGAGATTTCCGCGAAAATTGGATTTTTCCGTAAAAACAAGGCAGCTGATTGCTCTCTTACAACGTAGGGTTACAATTCTCGATATTTTGTAGTAATTAATATACAAACTTGAAAATATTTGCATATTCTTAAACTTAATCAAAATCACAGACGAATACATTTATTTATAAATAAGTAGACTATTTTTTATTTACAAAATAAACTTGTATATATTTGTCTTATTCTTAAACTAACTCAAAATCACAATCGAATGCATTTATTTTTAGGTAGACTATTTTTAATACTTGGATTTTAGTGTTGAGATTTTACATTATGAAAAATTATAACTAAAAAACTAAATGTGTGCAAAATCATGTATACAGATTGAGCGATGGCAACATTGCTCAAATGTGAGCAAGAGAGAACAATTGTTTTCTACGTTGTCACTACGGGCATAACTTTTGACAAATTTTGTCTGATACGGACGGTAAGTACGGAAGGGTGGCACATCGTACACTAATTCCACAATAACGATCTGCTATTAAAGGCTGACGGAATGGCAGCTATAAGTAAGAAAAGAAAACTCGAATAATGAGTAATAAAACGTTTAGTTGTTGGAATTAGAAATAAAGATAAGTGTTTAGCCATTAAATTGGAACTTTTATTTAACAATCCAGTGATTGAACTCCAAAGTAGAGTTTCATCGTACCTGATATGTGGAGTAAATCCGTTACATTATTAAAAACGATTAGAGAGGTAAGTTAAATGTAAGGGATTGTGAGGAGAATGTAAGAATTCTTAAACAAGTTTCAAGTTATCAGTCCCCCAGATTTTATCACCATTTTGGACTTTTAGATACTTTGTGATTTTGTTGTTTTTCAAGACAGGTGATCGGATATTATTATGGTTACTAAAACTAGAATTGGATTTATCAAATTGATATAAATTAATACTACAGTTATAGTTTCCACCTCAATTGCATTTTGGTTGAAGTTTTGACATTCTGTATTATCGTTATCGTCTCAATCCGTAAAAAATATCGGTTGAAGTGTTTTCGATCTTCAACTTTATTGTGGTATTATGGTTTACAACTTAGTGCGGTTCATTTCGGAAACTTAATACATAATGGAAAAGGGGTAACTAAGCTTTAAAATAATTTCATACTATTTTTTTTTTAAATCGTCTTATTTTTACGCGTAGATTACAAATCCGTAAGCGGAAAGTGAATTTTTTCAATATTTCTATTTTGTTTCAAATTATTTAAAAAAAAAATCGTTATTTTATTTTTTTTATAAATATGCATTAAAAATAAAAAATTGTGATACATTTAGTTTAATTATTTTATTATTTTCTTTGAAAAAATTACATATTGTTCATGTTTTTTGGGGTGTTTACTCCTCTTCTTCATAAACGTTTTTGAAACTTTATATTAAAATATCAGTGTTAGTGCACTTTTATTGTGATATTAATAATTACACATACTCTGCATCGTGATGAAAATTATCATTGAGGTTGAGAGCAGCAAAAAGAAGTTTGACGCGATTGAACTATGAACACCCCGGTTTTGGACCGACCAGGGTTATTTTTTTGAAGCGCGGCCGAAGGCCGCCAGTGCGGAAAGGAGTTCGACAATCTCCGATATTCGTCCATACCATCAGAACACGGCGCAAAAGAAATTGTGACTGTTACATTTCTTCAGTATATGTTTTTCATAAGAAAATGTTTAACACGCTGAACTGGTAATTACAGCTAAGTGATCTGAATTTTACAGAATTTTGCCGCTACAACAACAACAACTAAGTGACTTGAATATGTGATATGTGCAAAGTGTGTTAAATAAATTTTGAAAAATATACATAAATTATTGAAAACATGCACTTTCCGCTCACGGATTTGTAATCTACGCGTAAAAATAAGACGATTTAAAAAAAAAACATTTAATTTGTGAGGCCTCCTTAGTTGGGGGACCTAAACTGTACATTTACCATAAATATATACAAAAAATCAAGGTTACAACAAAATTAAAAAACTTTTCTAGCTCATGGAAAAAATATCCCAAAACTGGATTAGCCAAGTTACAATTTGAAAGCAGTAAAACAAAAATTACGAGCCTGTGTTAAATGTTACGAACATAAGGAGTCGATACAATATACCATTTCTAACAATGCACTTTTTGAGTAAAATTAAATATTTATCACGTTTTGCTTCTCTTCAGTCATTTGGGAATTATCCAATACAAACATATACAGTGTTCCATATTTATTAGAACCTCCTAAACAACTACAGAAATCGTTAAAATAATTTCCACTACATTGTTCATAACTACCGTTAGCAAGGAAAGGGAAAGTAGCGGCCAATGTTTGTGGAAATGTGCCTTCATCTCATTTAGCAAAAAGCTAAATGCTTCCTTATCTACACAAAACAAACTTTCGCCTCAAAATTAATCTATTCTATTCTATTCTATCTACACAAAACAAACTTTCTAACTAATGTCCACTTTAACATTAATTCCCCTTGAATTGTTTTAATTTTTCGTTTTTTTCCATTTTTTAGATTGGCAAAAAAGAGTTTGATTGCTATCAAGGTGAATTGATTTTACTTAAATTCAACGAGTGGAGTTACAAACAATAATTAAGGTATAAGATGTTTGCCCATGCCTGTCGAGGGATGACTGCTATAAAAACTGTTTTTATAATCGGTGAACTTATTTCTATTGGATATTGTAACGAATTTCTCGATAAATCGTCTACCTTGTAACTCAATCTTGAGTTCGACCACTGGATTGTTAAGTAAAAGTCCCAATTCAATGGCTATAAACTTATCTTTATTTCTATTTACAACAACTTAACGCTTTATTACTCATTATCCGAGTTTACAATTTCTTAGTTATACCTTAATTGGTCTTTACACGGCAGGACTTTAACTAGAACTGTATTCTGCAAAAGCCGGGAGCCTTATATATTAGAACGTTCCCAAAACATCACCACTCAAACATTCTGGCCACCATGAATTTCGCTATCTGCATGATTCTTAGAAATTGTCGAAAGCCTGTTTCTAGCTATCATCCGTGCTCGTCACAATACATATGTTTGATATACGGTTGTCTATGGTTACTATATTCCACTGTATAAACCCACAAGTAACAAAAGTATAAGCTGTTTTCTAAGAACCTACACAGCTGAGAACACCTGATCGAAATCTGCCTTTTTTGACACAGAAATGTATTTCTAATGGAACACATTAATGAAAACTTTCAAGAAAAGTTTCTTGCATATTTATTGCTTTACCTCACCATCTCTGCGGTAGCAATGTAAGCGCGTTTCCGATCTGTTTTGGATGCTCGGTTTTCATATATTCAGCCATATAACATTTTCGTATGTTCTAAATTAACCTACTTTTCATAACAAATATAACTAGAAAAAATATATATATATAAAATCTGGTACAATTCAGGAATAGTAATTACATTAACAATATGAGTCGAAATAATATATAATAAAATAAATATAATAAAATTAGATCCAATTCCATTGTATTCATCAAAAAATACAAGTCAAAACAATCTACTTGTACTAATTTCAACAAAAACCAAAATAATTAGAAAATACCAGGTGATATTCTGGAACAACAATAATATTAATAAAAACAATGTACTAAGTAATAAATAATATTTACACATGTAATAAAAAACATCCTTAAAGGGAAATATTTTAAAACATAACACGGCATCACATTATAGCAGAAATGAGGCATTTAGACGTTTTAGTAGTAGAATACTAGTAGGATACCCGTACCAAATGCGAAATTAGTACTTTAATATTTCGTATTAAGTGTGACATGTTTGCGTATGTGTTAGTGAAAACTTAGGATTGGTTACATGTAGATTTATACAAAGCTATAATCGCACTAGTTTCTACGGAATTGTATACGTCAGCTGTTTGATATGCCGCTGCCGTTTTCAAAATGTTCAAGAAACTGGCTTCAGGACGCCATTTGCAGACAAGGAAATTTCGTTGTCGCTACGTCGTGTAGTGCAGTCGTCTATGTGTTTAAAGCATAAGCATTCGGTGTATTTTGTTGCTGTGCACTGCTGCAGTTCCCTCATAGTATAAACCTACATATAATATATATATATTGTAGATTTATAGAAGAGAATGTTCTCAATGAGTAATAAACGCTTATATGAAGCAATTTTCTAGTTTAATTTGTAGTGTAATTAGCAGACAGGTATTTTATATACATTTTATTAATTTTTCTAATATATTTAAAAATTTAAATAACAGGATAAACATTTAAACTTTTTTTTTAACTTCAACTGTCAAAATTTGGCTTTTAAACTTTTTAAAATGTAAAATTTATTTACACCATAGTAAAATTTTATATCCCAATTCAACATAGAGAAAAATGTTACTGATAGGGTTAAAGAAAATATGTATACGTTTTTATACGAACGTTTCCAATCGAATAGGACATTTTTTAATGCGCAGGAATCTAGTAATTTCAACAATCAGACAATTAATTTTTCGCACACTAACTACAAAGGAGTCACAACTCAAAAATTTTTAAAATTATTTTTTTCATTTATCACAATATACTTATCTACCTACCCAAGAAATTTCAGTCATCACTATCTTATTTAACTGGAAAATAACCGTTAGGTGCGTTGTTGTTGTAGTAGCGGCAAAAACATTATTGAACTAATTTTGAGGAATGGTGCCGAGTTGACAATCCTTGGACGCATAAAAATCCGGGTCCGTTCCGGTTACTTAGACTAGACTGTCGAGGGAACGGGTGTTAAGTAAGTCGTTTGCATCGTTTGTGCAGTATCAACTAAAAATCACTATTTGTAGTTAGGTCGCTAGTACTGAAATAAATCGTAAATTTTCCGCTGTATTCTGCGAACTTGTATCTCTTTGTCTGAAAAATGTGATTTTAATACAGATGAATTATTTGAAATGTGTCAATTTCGATGAAATAATTAAATTATCACGATGTTAATCGATGCCTTGACATAAAAATGTTTCTTAATTTTCCTGTTAAACTTAGTAAAACGCTCTTTAAAGAAGATATTCAACGTTATGGACGACATGACTGTAAAAAATTAATAATTTTTACAGTAAGTGTTATAAATCTGACGTCTAATCTTTGTTTTTGATCACTCTATTTTTGGTAATGTAAAAACATATGTTCTGGAAGGATATTTATATCATCTCCAATCTTCCTTTATATTAAAATATATTTACGAATAAAAAAAGAAAACACTTAAATCCCACACTATAAATCACTAAAAAATTTACAAAATAAACAAATAATAATTGAACAGGAATTTTATCCGATTCTAATTTTCTTGTTGTTAAATGCTTTATCAATTTTTTAATTTTTGATTATTAAATGAACTGATTTTGTAGTTCGTCGCAAACAGTCGGCTTTTATCTTTTTGTGCACTAAATCTAGTATTTGTATCTATATATAGCAACGCCGGCTACACCAATTAAAATTGATCCCATTAAATATCCTATAAGTTTAAGCTGAAAAGATAAAAACAAACATATATGTAATTAATATATTATGCTGATAGAAGAACAGACAGCAGATAAAACCAAACATATATGTAAATAATATATAATATAAGTACGTATAGGCGGTCTTCGATTTGCCAATCGGGCAGCAGTTGTGGTGCAACCCTGCTTTAACTTGTCTTCTGACTCATGCGAAATTGAATCTGTGTTCTGATTTCTTCTTCTTTTGCGTTAAATACGTTGCTGTAACCATTTTTCTATAAATTATTATAATTGATTTTAAGTCTTATGTTTTAAAAAAAGAAGAAAAAAAATGTATTTAAAATTCCATGTCATTTCTACCATTCACAATAGTGAAAGTGAGCTAAAATATGCAACACAAAACTTGGCAGCACTGAAGATTGAAGTTATACCAAGGTATCCGCATACGCTCCTGCTTCAATTCAACTCGATAACTTTGTTGGTGCTTTTACGTGTAAATTTTTGACAAGAGAGCAAAGAAATGACCAATCGAAATATATATAGCTATTACATATATTGCATGGATAAAATGATCCAAAACTCTTTGATTCGAGAGAGCGCTGTCAAAGTCCACATTTTTTATAACATTTGACAGTGGTGCTACTAAGGAAAGAAATAAGTTTTGATTGAATTTTTTAATGTATTTCTTGGGTATTTTTTGGTTTCCAATTTACAGAAAAATATACATAACTAAAATTAGTTTAACAAGCTAGATATCCTATATGACTTCTAAATATAAGTACATGTATTTTTTAATCACAAAAGATTTTCAAAATTAATGTTTAAAACTAAATTTAACAAAATATTTTAATATTTCAAAACACCTAAAAGTTTTAAATAACCTTAAAATTAACCTTATTTCTTTTTTTATACACTCTATAAATAAATCTTTTGATAATTTATTCGGAAGTTAAAGTTTACATAACATTTGCTCGGAATTCTAAGCAAAATATGTATATACGTTGACAATTGGTACTGCTTAACAAAACAATACTCTGCGACAAAATAACCGCTCTTTCTTAAAAACAAAACTATATTAAATCTCTTTAAATAAAGATTACAAATATACGTAAAAGTCAACAAAAAATCTGATTTCTGCGGGATTCTTAGTGGTAGTTCATTGTTTTGCTTGTCATCTGTTCACTAGCTCATGAACTCGTGGTTTTTCTTGGCAGCACTGAAAGTTCATGAGCTCTCTCAGAAGGCAAAGAGAGGCTCTCTCAGAAGGCAAAGAGAGGAGTTTCGGATCATTTTATCTATGATATATTGTTAGAACATAGAAAGGGTTCAATTGTAAAATATTTAACACACATATTATTTATACATTTATACACTAAATGTCAAAATATGACAATAAGACACGTAAAAAGTGGATAAAAGTGATGAAAGTTCTACATCTGAGGAGCTATACGACCAAAATTAGGGCATAACATTATTTTCAAATTATTGTTATAGTGTGTAAAAGAGTGAAATTGGACTACATGCACTCCTAGCTCAAAAAACCGTATATTTCGGTCAATATGTGTTTATTTAAATGAAATAATAATAACCAAACGATTACCCTCCTCCCGGTCAACCGACGTGATTGGCGCAATCCGCATACGTGCGGAATTAGCCGAGTCAGAAAAGGCAAGACAGTTTTTTAAGTGTTGAGATCTAAAACTGCTCAGCTACAGCAACAAAAATTTCAACAGAGAAGATTTATAGTTACGATATAATAAATTGTTATATTTTCATTTATTAAGAGAAAACAATAAAGTCTTTTTTAAACTGCCTCGAAAAGCGAACCGGGATATTAAATTTATTTTCAGACAGGAGAAATCAAGGCCTTGGGATCCATGTTTCCACACAGGGATTGTATCGCCTCACTAGCACCCAGCAGAATTTTGGAATTTATCAACATGCTGGGCCTAGATGATTCGATATGACTTAGGGGAGGGCACAATAGACCATAGGTCGCTGTGCATACCTCAAAATTAATCTATTCTATTCCGTGTATATAACATCCGTATGCTTATGTTCCCTAAAACCCAATGATACATGGTTTACAAATTCAAGCAAGTTTGTTAGAGTCGATTTCCCTTTACGAAATCCATGCTGAGATGAGGAAATTAACGGAGAAATCGAAAAGGTTATATGGTCATTGATGATATGCTGAGATGAGGAAATTAACGGAGAAATCGGAAAGGTTATATGGTCAGTGATGATAGCTTCAAAAAGTTTAGGTATAATTGATAGTTTTGCGATACCTCTATAGTTTTCAATGTTGAAGGAAATATACCGTGTTTAAGTATTCTTGTCAAAGGCAAGTAAATATATTTGGCACTATTTTTTAGGAAGCATGAGGGTATCATGTCTGTGCCGTAACTAAAAGATGGCTTTAACTTATTTAAACTAAGTAGGACGTCTTTTTCAGAAATAATTAGATCGTTAATTAAAGTATTCGAACACAGCACGTGTTGATAACAAAAAATTTTGGAAGAATTATAACAGTAGTTTGAACGAAATTATGTGAATTAAATTAATTTTAAATAATTTCGCGCTGAATATAATTTCATTCATATCGGTCTAGACCTTGGTCTATCACCCCTATAACGCCATCAACTCTTATTAGAGTAGATTGAAACTGCTCTGGGGTTTCAAGTAGACTGGCTTCTGCCTTACGCAAACAACAATCTGAAACAGTTAATGTCCAACGCAAGCATAATGGCAACTATAATCCGACAGCTTTCCGCAATAGTAACATCAAATCTCATATTACTAATATAATGACTTCCGATTAGCTGGTTGATTTTTTCTTCATATATAACAAATATATACACAATACATTAAATAGAGTCCCGTTAGTTATGTGATATATGAGTACATCTAATTTGATAAAAAAAGAAGCAAAATTTGGTAATGGAACTAGGTGAGTCTATGGCTTATAATATAAGTTAGGGAGATACAAAATATTAGAGAAAAAAGATTTTATTCCATTCACGGGTTCTTCGAAAAATTAATTTTGAGTTCATTAGCAAGATTTTTTAGTAAAAACTTTGTCGACACCTGAAAATATTTCACCGCCTTAGAGCCTCAACAGTTGCGAGATATTTTTAATAATTATTTTTCAATACCAATGTAATTAAAAAAATATGTTGTCCAAGATAAATATGATCCGACAAACGGAAACCCAACAATTTACTAATTTAATATGTGATATATTTTTGAATAACACAGTTTTGATAGCGTGATATGTCATAATTGTTGGCTACTTGGTATCAAAAAGGATTTGGCAACAATCTGTTTAAAAATTTATACCAATTGCATACCTTCGAGCTTTCAATGTTTTGTTGCTTCTGCGGTTGTTTATGCTTCTGTTCAAGTTTTTTTGCTTGTCCCAGCATTTTTTGATACATTTCTTTTTCGTTGTGTTCTTCTCTGCGTGCTTTGATTATCAACTTTGCTAAGTCCTGTGTAATAAAATTAGTTCAATATGTTTACAACAAAACTATTAATAGCACAAACCTGCTGTATTGCTTTACTATCTGGTTCGAATGTAGCAGCCTTTTGTAATAAAATAATAGCACCTTTCGTATCTCCTTTTCCTTCGAGAATCTTTTCAATGAGTTACGTTTAGATTATTTATGAAATAATGCAAAATGAAGATTATTATATACTTACTCGTCCCTTTCGATACAAAGCCTTAGAATTGCTTGGCTGGCAACGTAGTACGTTCTCTACCGACTTCAAAGCAGCATCAAACGCTGAAATTTTTATTTGAGCCATTGCCAGATTATTGTAGACAACCAATCTATCCTCGAGTAATGTTTGCAAATCGCTATTAGAAAACTTATACACAGAAAGGTAAATATGTATTTAAATAAGTACAAATATGTACTCACTTCCAAATCTTCCTTATCGAACATAGAATCAGGATCACCATCGCGATCATCCAAGAATTCTAGTGCACGCCTATACAACTGAATAGCCGTATTGTATTCATTACGGTTATACCAGAAGTTTGCCCGTTCCTTTTTACGTGTTCTATATGTATATAATACATAATGATTAAAATATATATATATATAAGACAACATGGTGTTAATATTACTAACCCGTAATTCCTGCGTACTTCAAAGGACTTTAAATCCGAAAAATCCTCATTTTTACAATTTAGTAAATGTACTTCATATATTAGCTGTAGAAATTTAGAAAAAAATTATCAGTTATTTGTACTAAAATAATAGTTCAAATTTGATTGACAGAATATTAACATAATACCGGATGGATCTCAATGAATTTTAATTCACCAGCTTTCCGAAAGCCTTTTGTTTTCTTCTACCCGGCAATATGTATAGAGGAGTTTCAAAGTGTAAGTTTGTATACGGTATATTATTTTTCTTACTGTTGAATCTGCAGGCACGCTGGCGCTTTCATTTTCATCATTTTTTAAACCAAGGCTACCATAAGCAAATCTTGCATCGATAGTAACTTCAGCAACTTCGCCAATGTTCATTAAAGGAATAACCATGTCGAGTCCTTGTACAACCTAAACATTAAAATGTTATTATAAAATATATACAGCAATATAAATCCGGAAACCTCGTAATCGCCAACGTGAATTTGATAATTTTCCTTTTTCTCAACAACGATTCCATTAGGCATTCGACCATTAAATGTAACTGTTACCAGATCTCCTCTTGCTGGCCGAGCAATTAGTTGAGACTGTTTTATAACACGTTTAACTAACTGGCCATTACCTAACACATCACACGGCTCATTATCTCCAATTGAAACACCAACTCCACTCCCTTCAAGTTTAATATTTTCTTGCTGATTTTTTGCATTTTTAGTCCCAATTTGAAAGCTGTCTTTTTCCTCTCCTTTAACATCCGATTCTTTTACATGTGCTGATTTAGTTTCTAATTCGTTTATATTGGAAAGGTCCTCAAATGAACTACTACTGGATTTTTCAGTGTCCATTGTATGCAATGTACTTTAAAGTAGGTTTCTACTGAAAACGACAAATTATGGTAAATTATTTTCATGCGGATAAAAGGTATTATTCTCAATACCTAGAGTAAAGCGCGTTCTAAATATTGCACCAATTTTAATAAACTATATTGTGGTCTACAAAATATTCTATGAACTTACAAAGGAATTTTTTTACTAAACCAATTCAATTTGTGGAAATTCTTAATTTTCCTTCGTCAGCACGCAAAATTCAGCATACAGCTGGTCAGCAATATATCAGTTTTACGATAGTAAATATATATCGTTACCGAAGAGTTCGATACAATTTAAGGGTAACTTCTAAACTAACAACTACATTGCGCGCGTAAGCGTGGGATACGATTTGGGTATGGGTACGTATTAGATGGCATTCAATGGGTACGTATTAAATGGCATTCGATATACCATCCCACGATTTCAAGGTTAAGAGGGGTATGGTTGGATAGAGGAGATTCTCCAGATAAAGAGCAGAGAATTTTCAATTGAAAATTAATACTACTTAGCATGGCATCACAAAAGATTTCATCATATAAATTTCAATTTCGCGTTTTCTTTCATTTTCATTGTTTTCCAATTTTTATTAGTGATCTTCAACAGCAGCAACAAATGTCTCTGTTGACATATTTTCCTGTAGGATTTCAATCTGGCCGTCCTTTTTTTTCAATTGCTAAACGTCAGACCTCCTGAAATTTGACAGTTGCCTGAGTTCAAAAGGTTTTGACGTTTAGCAATTTCCAGTGAGAGATGAGTTGGGCATCTCTTTATCTCTGATTTAACATGTACGACAATCAAGCGTACAATTTTTTAATACTTCGTGTAATGTATATATTTATTAAAAAAAAATGTGTGTCATATTGTTTGTCCCGTTTAAGCTTATTGGGGCTTTAAAGGTCATTACCCTATCTGCCTCCACGCTGCAGGGTTGAGAATCTTACCAGATGCCAGCTGCAGAAGCTATTAAAAGAAGGCGAGGTTGCGTTTGCGAAATTAAGACTTAAACACTTGGGAGCTCACACTTTCAGATAGCCCACTGAGCCAGTAATTAAACGCCCAATTTGTATTGACCTAGAAAGAACTTACCGATCCAAATAGGGTTAGATCGCCGAAATAACAGCCCTTGGCCCGATAAAATCCGCGTCAATTCCGGTAACGTAGAACCGGCTGTTGTGGGAATTGTGGTATTGACCTCAAGACGCTTCGTCGACTTAAAAGATCGTAGTCGTAGGTTGTTGTTGTTGTAGAGGCAGAATTCTGCTGATTTGACAGTCCTTGGCAGGAATAAATCCGGGTCCGTTCCGGTTACGTAGACCCGACTGTTGTGGGAACGGGAGTCTCTATTGTTATGGCTTCACAAACGACTACATAAAGTAGTCCGCTATTAATGAGCCGCCATTAAACTTAACCTAACCTAAGGCTACAGAGTTCTAATTAAGTGACTTTTATGCTCACGTAAATACTCGCAGTTCCTCTGATTCTGATCACTGGTGTACGTATACTATCACTTACGCTCTTTTAGCACATGCTAAACTCCTGCCCATCCCTGCGCATGACAATGTATCAAAAAATTTAACTAATAAGATTGACTACGTAGGATAATTACAAAATATAAATTAAAAATCAAGTATAAACAATGTTCTAAAGCACAAAGGACAATGTTTTATATAAGTTTAAGATTGCATACATTGCAAAAAGCAAAAATAGTTTAGATTTAACAGAAATAAGAGTTATACAATATTTTGCTATGTATATAAGAGTTATACAATATTTTGCTATGTATATAACATAATGTTACGTATTTTTATACTCATAATATTAATAATAAATAATAACTTATTTGTAAGTATTATACAAACAGGGTGAGTTTTTCTAAAAGTGTGTGAAGGTTCTGTCAACGAGAAAATTTCATATGAGGAAGAAAATGAGCGAACAGTAAAAAGACGGGCAGTCAGTCGATAGCTAAGCATTATCCAGGCGCACTCGCTCTTTTAGTTTCTTGTCACTTATCTCAAATCTACAATCATGGATTTATCTATGTCTACAATTGGGGACCCTTTTCGAGACTAAATTTGAGCTAATCGAGAAAATAAAGCATAAAATTTAAAGCCATTAACCAACAAGCGAATTTCGTCCAGACTGTTCTATGAGAAGCAGTATCATTTGAAGCAGTCCCTAATAGTGGAAGCGAAAAGTGAACGTAGCGGTTGTAGTAGAGCTTTGCAGCTAAGAGTTTGAAGCAAAGCGATTTTCATCAGCAGCAAACTATTGAGAGCCGATACATAAGAGCAGTTTACTTCAGCAGCGACAGCAAAGTTAAAAACTGTTGGAATTTAAAATTTTGCCATACGAAGACGAAGGGGAGTTAAAGAAGAAGACACAGAGCCGAACGAAGACGAGGAGAGACGCTAAAAAAGATTAAGTATAACAGAAAGCTGAAGGTAGACGAAGAGGAATGGAAGAAGGAGGAGTAAGCCGAAAACCGAAAGAAGACGAAGGTTATCATAAAAAAATTACACGAAATAAATAAGTGTGTATATTAAAAGCATATAAATCTAATAGGAATATACGAATATGTAAACACTCAGCCAACATATGTATTTACGTAAATAATGTAATAAATGTTTGCGAAATGCAATATTTGATTAATGTATGTTTATAAAAAGTGTTTACGTTTAAACTGCAGTAAGGTGAAGGAATTCGTTTTAACCCAATTTGCATTAACAAATTTCGAATTCATGTGAAATTTATACAAACAGGGAGAGTTTTTAGTACAAATTATGTAAAAACGTTAGCATTGATCGTTGAATTACTAAGAGCTAAATAATTTTGACGCAATTTGAAGAATAAGATAAATTACTTACTCTATTTTAAATCTATACATTTTATAAGATAACATTTAACTACTTTATTTATATTTAAGATACATAAGTAGTTTTTATAAACATTTTAACAATTTACTAGTAAACACAGTAGCGACAATGAAATCAATGCGGACGCTATTTTAAAAATTACCGTGACGACTATGAAAGATAAGTTGAGAGAAATGGATTAGGAGTGAAGTGAAGCGAGCGATTTGCAGTCGAACCAGTCAGAATGCGATTTTACTCAAAAACAGTCTGAGTCACCTATACCCATACGCCGTCCGCATTGTACTCTTGAAGAAAGCCTTTCAACTTTTGATGGAACTGATACGTCTGATATACAGAAGTGGATTGACCAGAAGAAAAAGTGCAGAAATTGTAAATTGAAATGAGGTATACAAATTTATTTACGCGAAACAGTTGTTGCGTGGTGCTGCAATACTTTACATAGGTAGTCAAACCGGCCTATGTGATTGGAATTCTTTCAAATTAGCACTTAATAATGAATTGGCAATAAGTTACTAGCAGCAGGCGTGAATAAGACGTTGGAAAGAAAACAGAAGAAGAAATGGGAAACGTATCGTGAATATTTATATGCTTTGATAGATATAGCAAAATCAATACGCTTGGATGAAGAAAGTTTGTTGTAATATTTCAGAGGCGGTTTTCCTGGATTTAAATATAGCAATACTTTGCTTTACCATGCTAAAATAGTGACCGAGCTTAAATAATAGTTAGCAGTTTATGAAATCCTAAGAAAGTGCAAGAATACAATGAAGTTAATCAAAAAAGTATAATTCTTCGATTAGATCAAAAACCGAAAGGAGATTTGAAAAAAGTGGTGACCTATCGCACATAACTAGAGATTGTGCGAGCAAGCAATTCAAATAATTTAAATGTCAATGTCATAGCTCTTTTGAGTGTAAACTACCAAAGAGTGCATACACAAAGCGGGTCCAGGGCCATGTAGATTTAATTGATTAAGTTAATGAAATGGGATACATTTAACAGGATGGGCAAATATATACAGCTAATCCCAAAACAAAGACAACTATTTGGTAACGGTGCAGGCGAAATATCCACGATAGGAAGTATTAAGATACAGGTGCTAATCGATGAGAGCAATGTTAATCTGACGTTTCAAAAGGTAGTAATAGGAGATATTACTTGTATATACGAAGCGATTCTTGGTAAATCAATTTTCAAACAGTTCAAAGAGAGGGTTACTATACCAGTTAATGAAGATGTGACAGCAGAAGGAATCGAAACAGTGATGATTTTATGACAGATGTTTTCTCAAATTTATGTTTTAGTATAGATTTTTAGGAACAAGACATTGATTTGAGTCACCTTAATAAAAAGAGGGAAAAGACGGTAAAACAAATATCAAAAACTATATACCGTAGAATAATGATAATTCACCAGTGAATAATACAATTATCTCACTGATGAAGTTCCTGTTTACCAACCAACTCGTAGGGTGTCTTATGAGGACCAACAAATAATAGATAAACAAGTCGCACAGTGTTTAGATGAAGGCATAATACCATAGATAAAATGATCCGAAACTCCTCTCTTTGCTTTCTGAACTTTCAGTGCTGCCAAAAAAAACCACCATGAGCTACTGAACAGATGACAACCAAAACAATAAACTACCACTAAAAATCCGGCAGAAATAAATTGCGAAATCAGTGGGTAATTTGTGAGTTCAGATTTTTTGGTGACTTTTACGTATATTTCTAATCTTTATTTAAAGAGTTTTAATATAGCTTTGATTTTAAAAAAGAGCGTGTATTTTGTCGCAGAGTATTGTTTTTCTTACCAGTACGAATTGTCAACGTATATACATATTTTGGCTAGAATTCCCAGCAAATGTTATGTAAACTTTGACTTCCGAATAGATTATCGAAAGATATTTGTTTATTCAGTATATAAAAACTAACTAGTATTCATGTTTAGCTTATTTAAAACTTGAAAGTGTTTTGAAATATTAAAATATTTTGTTAAAATTAGTTTTAAAAGTTAATTTAGAAAATATTGTGTGATTAAAATATACACGTACATATATTTAGAAGTCATATTAGGATATCTAGCTTGTTAAACTAATTTTAATTATGTATATTTTTCTGTAAAATGAAAACCGAAAAATACCCAAGAAATACATTAAAAAATATCAAAACGTATTTCTTTCACTAGTGGCACCATTGTCAAATGTTATAAAAAATGTGGACTTTGACAGCGCTCTCTCAAATCAAAGAGTTTCGGATCGTTTTATCCATGCATAATACGTCCAAGCTGCTCACGTTACGCTTCATTTGTAGTACTCGTGTCAAGAATTGCAAAGCATTGTATAAGCCTACAAGTAGCCAAAGAATCAGCTGTTTTCGTATGT